CTAACCCTAACCCTAACCCTAACCCTGATCCTAACCCTAATCCTAACACTAGTGCTGCCACATTGCGGTACTGTCCCTCCACGCCCGGAGGATAGCATTTCCCCAGACACTGGTTGTAACCAAGGAGCTAAATATATTGCTATTTAGCTCCTTGGTTGTAACAAGGCGTGTGCGGGTGACGGCAGCGTCATGTGTGGAGCACTCGCCCTGAACTCGGTGTACAGAATTTACAAATGTAAGTAGAAATACGCCGCATTCTCTTGTTTGTTTCTAGGCGCAAGCAATCGTGCATAGGGGTTAACATTACATCATAGTATGATATATAGATCTGTCTCTGCATATCGAGGCTGGCTGCCTCCGTAAATTGTCTGGAGTTAGCGTGATTATTAGACGTATCATTATATTTTCGTCATCTTCTTCTTCTTCTTCTTCTTTTTCGTTTATTATTATTAATATCCTTATAACAATGTGTTGGTATTGCTATTAATGTTTTCGTATGTTTCTACAAATTATGTTCATTCAAATGTTACCTATTTTTTCAAGTGTTTTAATTTATCAAGAGCGTATAAAGAAGGTATACTTCTTCATACGCTCTTTATACTCCTTCTTTATACGCTCTTGAATTTATCTATCACAGATTGGGGAAATCGGTCTTCCCACTTTGTAGGCAGCCGATTATTCTACCCAATGACACATCACGTGACATTCATTAGATGACGTACACTCATGAATTTCTATTCTTGCTTCTTACACAACAGATGACGACTTCAGCGAATTGCTATTCCACGACAGCCGTGTGTCCGCAGGAAACGAGCTAACACGCAATGTAACAGCAAGCCCGGCAGTAGGTGTCGCCTCGGTGATACTGTGCGGAGTTCACTGCCTTGAGTCGCCATCTTGCTTTGGAGTCGTTTGGATTCCAGGAAGCGTTAACAACTGCGTGCTTATCTCCTGTGTGGGCAAGCCAGGCGTTTATACGATTCCCGCAAGAGGAAAATACTATCACGCATGAATAGAGTCTGGTGTAAACTTTATCCGACGTGTATACATTTGTAACATTTTTGCCATGATAATAGTGTGGCGTTTGCCCGTCCCACGTCAGAATGCGACGTGGCACCTCGGCTAGCGTTGCCGCGCTTTCGTTGGCCTGCGATCGCCTTGCTGTCGCTAGCCGCGTTTTCCCGGTAAGGTACGCTCAAACCTTACGCTGATTCGGGCGGATCGGAAGTTGGAAGGGTCGCGCGGAAACGCACTCGCAGATGAATACAACACAGATAAAGTACGGATAACGCCAGTTTATTCTCACTCACTGGCGGCGTGTACAACACACCACCAGCCCTTTCACGGTTACAACTCTCCTCGCGTAGCTGACGGCGCGTGCCAACTCGCCCGAGTTAGCGATACTAACTTCTTCTGTGTGGCCGCACGGCCAGCCTTTATATATCCCGCCTTCTGGGTAATATCTCGCTTCCCGCGCGCGCGAACATACCTCATTATTATTAGTAATTCAGACAGTATTCATTATTAGTAACAGTATTAACAGTATTAGTAACAGTATTATAAATTCCTCGACAGGGTCGTCGAGATCACGTAATGATTGATGGGAGAGCTAGACGTATCTGCCACACTACGCTAGCCGCGGCTCACCCGCCGATAGACGCGCACGCGGGCTGCTCGTTACACAGGTAACATTATATTGATAATGATTTAGACACTGTAATGCTGGAATGTGTATCGGGTTTATTATTAAAGATAATGCACGTGTGTTTATTGATAATGTCTACACGTGTAACTACGTAGGTTTGGTAGAGGCCTGCAGACATTGCCATCGCGCTGTATTCCCGGTGTGAGGGGAGCTGGATGCAATCAATTAAAGGCATAATAAGCCCAATGATTATGCAATGTTGACGAATGCTAGAGTAACTGGCACCTTGCGTAGTTAATAAGTACATAACCTTATAGCCAAATGCGTATAAGTTTGCCCAATATCACTGCTGGTTACATTACAAACAAGACTTGAAATCGGTTGTTGATGTGTATCAACGTATCATTTACGTGCCGTAAATGTCATCCAGGAGTCAAGCGATGTCGTAAACATTTGTGCGGCCCGTATGTTTTGGACGGCAGATGAAATGGAGGTGTCAGCGGTGTAACCACGGCCACGGACTAAACATGGAAATGGAGTAAAACACACGTACTAATCACGGACGCACGTGGACAGCCCTGACAAAAAGTTCCTTATCACGAGCGTCCATGTTTACGAAATCACTGATGATAGCATTGCGTGCGAAAATGTCCGGTGCACTATAAATCGGTATCACACCCGCTTCGCCGGCAGCGGTTTGAAACTGTAAACAACCGATTTTTGGACTGCGCATTTCAATTAGGCATCTTTTAGTAACCAGCAGTGACATTGGACAAACTAATACGCGTTTGGATGTAAGGTTATGTATTTGTTAACTACACAAGGTGCCAGTTACTCTAGCATTCGTCAACATTGCGTAAGCAATGGGCTTATTATGCCTTAACTACACAAGGTGCCAGTTACTCTAGCATTCGTCAACATTGCATAAGCAATGGGCTTATTATACCTTTAATAGTGATAATAGTGTTACAGCCATATTACGGTTGTTGTTCTCTCGTATTATTTAGTTAGATGTAGATGTATTATACGTTGTATATCGCATAAAGATGCTGCATTCGCACGCGCGCGCGCACGCACTATACTCCCCAGGTCTGTGTCTGTAGTATGGTAAACGATATATCAGATCATAATTGGACTTGAAAATTTTATAATTATTATAACACGCGCGCGCGCACACGCACATACACGCGCGCGCACGCACGCACGCACGCACGCACGCACGCACGCACGCACGCACGCACAAACACAAACAACAAACAAACAAACACACAAACACACACACACACACACACACACACACACACACATCTTGCACACACCACACAACACACAACACCACCATACACAACACACACAACACACACACACACACACACACACGCCCAACACACACACCGCGCAGCACACGACGCACACAGCACGCACACAGCACGAAACACAGCCACCACACATACACACACACTGCTCACACCACCAACACATCACACGCGCGCGCGCACACAAGCCACACGCAACACACACACCACACCTCACCGTACACTTAAAAATGCAGATACACACCCACACAGAGTACACAGCCGCACACACACGCACACTAAACACAACACACACCACCCCAACACTCGCAAAAACACACGCCACACCACGCACCTACGCACACACAATCAACACGCCCCCCCCACACGCACACCACAACACAGACACGCGCGCGCGCACACCGACGGCACACACAACACACAGCGCGCGCACACACACGCACACACACACAACACACACACGCACACACACTACACACAAATGCAGACATACACACACCACACACACGGCCGCCGCACACGACACAGCCACACACACACACGCGCCGACACACAACACCATACAGCACACACGCACCACGCACGCACGCCACAGCACCACGCAGCAACACACGCGCCACGCCGCCACGCACGATGTGAGTGCACGGTACACACACGCACACACACTACAGCCCCACACTCGCGCGGCGTACATACGCGCGCGCACATACGCGCGCCACACAATAACGCGCAACGCACACAGCGCACACTCAAAACGCGCGCGCACACACGCAAACACTACACACACTACGCGCATGCATAGACATGCCCATAACACACATAGTTTGCATCAGTGGTCTCAGCTATTTTGTAGACTGTGGCAACATCGAGAAAATGTTCTGGTATGCATAATCTTGCAGATTATTTTTCTTTATGTAGAAAATGTATCTACTTGAAAATTCTTATTTCAAGATATTTATCTGAAACGAGATATTTCCTAGCTCACTCCCAAGATAAGAACTAATCTTGCCTAAATAAATCTCAAATATAAAGTATAAAATGTTTCTTGTTTTAGGGTCCTTATTGAGATTGGTATGACATCTGTTTTAAGAAACTGTGTGAGATAATAAATCTGACATTAAGAAAACGTTGTTTCTTGTTTAAGTTGTTCATAATTTGAGGTATTCTGGTAGATAATCAAGATTATTTCCTACCTCACGCCCCAAAGATAAATAATCTTAAAATAAACTGTTATATCTTATTTCAATGATTTTTTCTACATTTCAAGCAAATCATTTTAGCAGTGCCATATACACACATACACGCATATATAATTATATAAATATGACGTATATATATATATATATATATCCGTATATAGTTATCGCTGATATAGTATACGTCGTGAACTGTGGTGAAGATTTGGAATTCTTCATCAATATTTTTACGTTAATTGCTTAGTTGACCTACACAGTTAGCGTCACTTTAAAATTCTTAAATCGGTAATATTTACATTATAAATATCATGAAATTTCTGTAACTTGCGAGCTTGAACCGGTAGCTGAGTTCATCGTGAACAGGGCTTATTCTCACCGTTACTCTTATAACCCATCAAAACAACACTGCTAGTTTGGCAAACACTTGATCGATGCGTACAATTACGAGCCAGGTCTGTTAAGCTAATATTCTTGTTACGTCCCCATATATCTACGTAAGCTGGTGTGCCATCTGCAGTTGAGAAGTACGAATCGTATATGGCAGATTTCATTCATAAAGTTGTATCAATACAATGTCGGTTCAGCAATAAACGAGAAACAAAGTCACTGTGAAAATGACATAATAATAAGTGATTTTATTATTCCGATTTATTCATTTCACCTCACTAGTGCAATTACATCACAAAGTAGGTATAGTCACAGAGATCCCTGCCTGCTCTTACATCTATGCCGTTAACATATTTCTTACACATTTCACAGTCGACATCTCACCGATAATAGCATGTCACGCAGTGTTACATGCCTTTTATCATCATTTACCTAAACAACCCACGCGCAATTTACCCCAAAACGCAGCGCAATATACGCATACTACGACATGCGTGGCACACACGATTGTACGCACGTCCACTACATAGACGTGCAAAACCACGCACGCAGACAAACACGCAACGCACCGCACGCAGCCAGACCCACATCGTAAGCCTACTGCGGCGATTACTAAGCCGTTTGTACTCGGCCGCTTTCGATAAATTAATGAAAATAAAACTTCGCCACCACGTTTCCAAATATAGCCGGCTACTGCAAGCTATAGAGCTCAATAATGTAGCGCAGTTAAGATAATAAACAGCGATAATTATTTAAACACAGCTTCGCATTATAACAACGACTACCACCGGACATCACTAAGGCAAGCAGTTAGAGAACCAGTAACTGGCTCTCCACATTCAGCCACTGCGCATGACGCAAATTGGTGCGACGCTGGTTTCCGATTTTTAACTGTAAAATATTAAAAAAGATGGCCTCCAGGACGAGATCCATTGAAACGGTGAACAATTTGAGACGGGTTCTGTCGTGCGTCAGCTACGGTACTTACTTGCGCTACTCTATCAAACATCAGCGTACCTACGCTATAATTTATGAGCTGGAGTCCACTATGAAATTTTTTTAGCCTAGGAACCTTTTAAGACTCCGGCAACAACTCTGTTTATGTTACGTGTACGACACGTGTGTATAAACAAACTTTAGCACATACATACATACACAGACTGGTAACGCAAACACGTTCTATAAAACTACCTGCAAAATGCAACAAGTCGTTGGATTTACTTTGCTGTGTTTTAGGGCCAGCGATGCATGAACATATATCTAGGTGAGAACGTTGGAACGTCGGCGTGCTCAGTGTGAGCAGATGGGCATAGAGGTTTCGTTATCAGGTGAAATCTGAATGAAACATGCCAAAGATTGGCATTATCATTAATGTCAGTATTGTACCACTAAACTTTATGCTTTATACTTATTGTTACTGCATATCATTTTGATGTGCTTATAATTTAATATAAAGCATCTTTAATTTTATAATTATTTCCCATTCATTCAATCATTGATACGTCCTATCTTTAATTCGTT